CAAAAACAGTCTTCCAAGGAGGTGGCACCAGGATAACTATCGGCATTTGATGGGCATGTTTGGGAACAAGTCTCATTGCCGATGTTGCTCTTATACCTTCCAGGGACACATGGCTCACAGCTGCCACTCGAGTAATGGCCGGCCACACATAAGCAGTCATCAATCGATCTGGCAGAGGCCACCAAGGTCTGAGAGTGCTGCGGACACTCCAAAGGCTCCCCGTTTCCTGGGCAGTACAAGCCGGGTGTGCAATCGGAACAAACTCCTTCCGCATCAAAAGTGCCAATTTGGCATATGCAATCTTGGATTGAAGCACCTCCGACTTTCAAAGTGGATTTTCTAATGGGACATGACTGGCATTTATCGTTGGCAAGCGTACTCTTGTACTCTCCAACCCCACAAGGACTGCAGCCTTTGCTCTCTTCAAGGTACTCATAGCCGCTTGTGCAAAGACACTCTTCGACATTTCGAATAGTCACACCTGGTGGTACCAGGGCGTTTGCCCGGCATATCAAAGGTAGGAGGGACACTGAGACATTGGAGGGCTGCACATCTATTATGCCTAGTACTTCGTCTTGACGCAAGGTATCCAACACAGCATCTGAGGCAATACTGAGATCTACTTCTTCAGCAAATGTCTCTGCCTCCTCCATAGTCAAGTATTTGAGTGTGACCACCAAAGTCCTCATGGTTGACATGCGCCTGGATGAATTGTTGCTATCGTACAAAAGGTCCACTTCTGTGATTGCACGAGTGCCCCACATGGTGCGCAATGCGGATGCCACATTGTCGCTGATTGCGTCTGAGGCGTTGCCGGTGGCTGTGATAGAAAGGCTGAACGTCAGGACAGGCACTTCACATGTGTGGGAATTTGAGGCATTCGATTCGGATTCACCATCTTCAGGCGCCAACATTGTTTCTGGAACGCATGACATGTTGGAGGATGCTCCTGCAGAGAATGTCGTTGTGTTTTCTGGGCATCTGACGCATTCTTCATTGGCGGTTGCAGACTTGTAGAAGCCTTTGGCACAGCCAACACATTGGCCATCAACAAGTCCATATCCAGGGAGGCATACGCACTCCTCCCTCGAAGCAGCATGCCAATGTAAGGTGGTCTCCTCTGCAGCGCAAGAAACTTTGTTGGCGTCAGTAGGGTCACCTCCCCTGCAATAGAACTTCTTTGGGCATTTCGCACAAACTTGAGAAGATTCCGCATAGTACGTTCCTGCGCAGGAGTTTCAAGAAGTGTACAAGTTTCTAAGAGTCAGTGACCCGTTTTTCACCGGCCAGCTCTTGCTGCTTCGGCATTGACAAGGATAGGTACACAAACACACCTTGTTCACTTGCTGCCTTGGCGATGCCGTGCGACGGCGATGCCCGGAGGACCCCTTTGGCGAGCGGTTTTCCGGTCGCACGGCGACAGAAAAAAAAGTTCAGTTGCTTTCTGCCATCAAAGACAAGTGCAAAAGGAATCAAAAAGACGAGAAGAAACTGAAAAGAGGATTCAACTACACCAAAGACTATTAAAATAAACCATGATAAACTTATGATCTCAATGATCTCCTGGTGGGCAATGAATCTGCAGTTCTCCAGCTGCACCTCGAAAATCTGAGGCTGAAGTGCACAACAGATCGGCAGGGCACCAGCAAATGCGATACCCTCCTGGACCAGGTGTCGAACCAAAGGGCAAGGTTCCAAGGTCAACTTCAAGTCCATTGCCGTCGTCCTTCACTCTCAAAGGCTCTGGAAGCTCCATGAAGATCTGGAAAGCGACCCCTTCGCTCCAGCTTTGGCAACTATGATTGCGGAACACCAAGCGATCACCCACATTCAAACCGATACCAACCAGCTGTACAGCGCATGGATGGCCTTGTTCGCACACTCTTGTAACGTAGAATGGACCCTTTGTGGTGAAAAGACCCAGCGAAGCTCGAAAGTCCAAAGCATGGGTACAGTTTTCCAGAGATGGCCGGCAAAAGCACATGGAAAAAATACCCACTGCCGACCACAACAAGGAGCTTTCACCCACAAAATCGAAGTCTCCATTCTCCTGGCAAAGCAGCTTTGGGTGGCAGGATAAAAAAGAGCAAGCATTGTAATCGTCTATTATGTTTTATATAAAGCTGTGGTTTGACAATGATATGTTGCTTTGCTTGCACTGCTGTTAAGCCTTCTGTGTGCCATGTCCATTTCTTTGCCAAGCTTCGTTGCGAAAGGCAATTCCATTGCCGGGACTTCCAGGAAGCATAGGACCTGTCTCACAATCCGTGCGGAGCATGATCCGGTCACCAGTCATCAAACCAACTCCTTTAATGTTCTGCAAATGGCAAGGCTGACCCAGAAAGCAGTTCGTCCGTTGATTTGTGTAGGGTCCTAACACTTGCAAGTGGCCGGCTGGCACTGCAAAATCTGAAGCGGTATTGCAGGAGCCGCCGCACCAGCAAATGGTGTACGCTTCATCCGCATCCAGCAGAACATTGCCAAATGTAAGGTAAAACTCTCCATCAAAGGTCGAAAGGCTGCCAGTACCATTGGGATTTGCAAGTGCCAGCGATAGGACTTCAGAACCACCACATGCACGGCGAACCGCCACTCGATCTTCTAAGGAGAGCTGATGTCCTTGAAAAGGCCGCAAACCTAAACAGGTCTGACCTCGAACACAGTCCAAGGAGTGATTACGAAAAGGTCCAATGACTTCAAGTTTTCCTGCGGACAAAATGAAATCGGTCTGCAGACTTCCGCATTGAAGATCTCGCATGTTGGCACACCAACACAGATTGTAAATTCCTCCTTCTGGGCTAAATTCAACGGAGCTGTCTCCCCATACATATCGATGTCCTTCGCTTGTTGCAGGCTTGGAAACGCCTTGAGCAACTACACCGGACACTGCCACTTTGCCAGTATTGCAATTTGACTCGGTCACAGCAAGACGGTGGCCATCTTGCAAATGGAAACCCGTGATTTCGATCAAGCACACAGTGCCTGATGTGCACTGCACAAATTGTTGCGGCTCTGGCTTGACACAGAAGCTCTCATCTTCAGCTCCACTTTCACGGGTTGTTGAGCCTTGCGTACAAAAATTGCAAGCATCTTCTCGCGATGCTGCTGATTCATTGCTCCATCTTCCTGCAACGCACGGTTGGCATGCGCCATCACCGATTTCTGCCTTGAATGTGCCCTTCAGGCACGGTTGGCAATTGGAGTCACTTCGAAAAAAACCTGAGGCACAAATGCACTCCCTTGCATCAGTGGCGGTCTCCGTTGCAGTCGTGAGGGATTGGCCGCATGGTTCTTTATGCCTGCCACCGGCACAAAAAAAAACCTCGGCCACATGGCTGACAGCTGGTGGGATCATCAAGTATTTCATTGACAAATCCTGCTGGGCACGTGCATGCGGAAGTAGATACTGCTCCTTCAAGCAACGTTGTGAGTCCTCCGCACGATGAACAAGCTGCATCCGCAATCGCAGACTTGTGCTTTCCTGCTGGACATTTTTGACAACCGCCACTGAGACCTGATTCACCTTCACGTGGTTCCATTCCATGGGCACATTTGCAGTCCGACTGATCTCGGACCAAATTGCCGCCGACAAAGCCCAAACCATCCGGACAATGAAGCACATCGATAGCTATTGAGTGTCTGGTCACAGCAGTTTCACTAGCTAATGTTGCTGTGGTGAATGCGAAGGCTTCGAAAACTGATGAGTCCATCTTGGCATGCAGGGTCATTGCCTCCTCTTCTTCGGATGTTATGACTTTGTAATCGATTTGACCGCGACTTTCAGTGAGCTGCAAAGATGCTCGAGCACTCAGGTCCATGTAACCAAGCAAGTGCGCATGGACCATCTCCAAGGAACCACTAAATGAAACGACAGAACCAGCGAAGGTGTACACCTTTGCTTCAGTTCGTGCAAAACTACTATTGCTGACAGCATCTCCAAGCAGAAGCACGTCCACGCAGTTGAAAACGTCACTGGATTCAATGTCAATGGTGCCAAACGGGCAATAGCACTCCTGCAAGGAAATGGCACCCTCTTTCGAAATGCTTTGCTGCGGGCAACTTTGGCACAAGCCAGATCCTGTGTGGTCTTTGAAGTGCCCTGCAGGGCACATTGAACAAGCATTCGCCCGTGAGTCCCAGAAATGCCCACGCCTGCATTGACAATCCTCAAGTGAGACCGACCCTGTGAGGGAAGTACTTCCTTCTGGACACTGATAGAGAACCGACTCATGCGACTCCAGAACTCTGCCACCCGGACAGTAGCTTCCCGGCAAGCATGTCTGGCATTTGGATGTAAAGCTGCGCAACTCATACGATCCTGGAGCAGTCCAAATCACTCAAACGTGCGACCAAAGGAAAACCAAAGAAAAGCCCAGTGAAACGATTCCCGAAGAAAAGCCTCTTCTGACCACGGTCGCTTCAGCAGTATAAACACAACAATCAAACGGCCACCAAGACAAGGTCGACCACCAGAAAATGCGCGGAGAAGGCTGCAACTCAGCACAGGTCAATGTCTTGAGTCTTGAGAAGCACGGCAGTCGGATGGATTGTAAGAGTGGACAAGAAACTTGAGATTGGAGAGTCGGAGAGCTAGTTGGAGAGTCGGTTGCAGCATGAAAACCAGGCGACCTGAAAACTTCAGAGGCACTGGAGGACCACTTCAGACGGACAAGTGCTGAAAGGAAAGGTCATGTTTGGCAGAAGCAGCACTAAGTATTCAACTTCGGAACACGCTACAGGTCACTGTGAATTGTGAATGCAAGACGGATACAAGGACAAACGACCGAATCAACAAAAAACACGTCTTTGCAATGCGCCATCTGCCTGTTGTTTCAGCAGTTTTGTCAACGTTTCTTTATGAGTCTCGCCTCTAGTTACGGTCCTAGTCGGGCGTTGCACATCGTCAATTCGAGCACGTCCGAGTTTGCTGTCCTGGAGGGCAAACCACGTCCAAGAGCATGGCCAAAGCGCGAAATTCGAGCAAATCTCCACAGCTTGACTCTTCTGCACACCAGCAGAGTTGCACTTGTTCCGGTGCGCCATCCAAATCCAGCGGGCCAAAATCAAACACATCTGTCAGAATGTCATCCGTTCCGGATGCACTGATAGGCCGTGCTTGGAAGGTGGATGTCTGGAGAGACGTGCCGCATTCTTTCAAGGGGAGCAACTGGTCAGTCCTTGAGAGCGAGAAACCTTGCAATCCTCCAACCACGCAATGAGATCCCAAATCACAAACGAAGGACTGGCCTGAGAAGGGGCCGAGCACAAGGAGAAATCCAAATTCGAACCAGTGACCTTCACACAACGAATTGACCTTGGAGCAACGGCTGATCCGGTACAGACCCGGTTCTGCAAGCCAAAAGGGTCCATTGGACATGGCCGGGCCACTCTCAGAGTCGTTGTAATCTGTAGCATCTCCGTCGGACACATCGCCGGTCGCATTGTTCAATGAAAAGTTGGCGCCATCTGATGTGGAAAAGACGAAATACGTCAAAGTGAAAAAATCCACCACTTGGATCATGTCATCTGCTCCGAAGCGAAGTCCCGAAGTCCCAAACACAAGGTGGCACTCCTGGCCCAAGAAGCACTTCTTGACTGGAACCTCTTCCAAGTCCAAACTGCGGTACCTCCAGAAGTCTGATTTGTAAGTTGAATCAAAGCCACCAAACAAATGTACATAGTTGGATTTTGGATCCCACACTGCGGTGTGGTCCTCTCGAGGTCCTGGAGCCGGGTATGGTCCAGAGGGTGCCATTGGAATCCAAGAGCTGGTCAGAAGGCTATAATTCCATACCTGCTTGGTGGTTTCAACGATACGAAACATATGAGTCAGTGGGTTCAATCAGGCTTCAATCATCCCAAGGCCCATGGGTTCAATCAGGAAAAAAACATCTCTGAAACCACCAGCAAGAGACTTCCGCTGTGTAGTTGATCGATTCATTGACTCGGACCCCGCCGAAGATGAGCATTGACCAAGTGAGAGGCTCCCAAACGGCTGAATGGCCAGCTCGACCGGCAGGCGAACTTGATGTAAAAAGCTGAGTCCAGGAATTGCTCCACAGGGCATAGTGCCAAAGATCATTCAGCGCAGTGTCTGCCCAGCCACCAAAAACCAACATGGCTTTGGCTGCGTCTATCCAAACCGCAGTGTGCCGGCTCCTGGCTGAAGGCATCTCTGAAAATGAGAATACGGATAGTTCTGTCCAATTGTTCGACGCTAGTTGGTACTGCCACAAATCCTGTAGAGCACCATTGTTCTCACCAGCGAAAATCAGCATCATCTGACTGGCTGCATCCCAGACTCCTGAGTGATAAGCTCTTGCTTTTGGCTTCATTGGAGGAGAAGCAAGGCTCCATGAACTGGTGTTCGCGGAGTAGATCCACAGCTCATCAAAATTGGTGGTCAAATAGCTGCCACCAAACACCAGCATTGCCCCGGCACGGTCCCAAATGGCTGTGTGGCCACCTCTGGGTGAAGGCCCAACAGTTTGGACTTCTTCCCAAAATCCATCCCTCCCATCCTGTTTGTAGCGCCAGAGATCATTGTAAAAATGGAAAGAAGCTGCGGCATGTCCAGCAAAAACCAGCATCGAGTCATCATCATCGTTCCAAATTGCAGAATGCCCTCTTCGAGCCGGAATGTTTGGATCTGGCATAGTACTCCACGCGTCCACATGACATTTCACACCAGCTGCTTCCTGAGCGCTGCAATCATGAATACCCCAGCCTCTGAAAGGGCAATAGCCCAGATCACATTCATTTCCTTCACAGGCTACTTCATCCATGCCAAACTCACCACTTCCATTCAGGTGAATGAGTGAGATACCACCTGCCAGGCCAAGCTGACGGCAAACGACCTGTGCATTGAGGATGTTCCAGTTGTCATCGCAAACATCACGCCAAGTCTGCTGATATTGAACCTGAACACGGCCTTGCCTGGTGGTGCCAACAATGCGAACGCTCTTGGAAATGATGCTGGTGAGGATTGTACCAAAATCAATTGGGATTAAGCTGTCACCCATCTCATTTGGCCCGTCACCAATGTGCTCCACATTTCCCTGTCCGAGCCTGCCACAATTATTAGACCCCCAGCATTTGACAGAGTCGTCATCTAGTAAGGCACAGCTGTAGTCATTCCCAGATATGACTTGCTGGCCGGTGCGTCCAGAGCCCAATTCAACCGGCAGCAGATGGTCTCCCATTTCATCTGGGCCGTCGCCGAGGTCAGGATTGTGTGGGTATCTCACTCCAAGCTCGCCTCCAGAACCACCACCCCAACATTTGATCGAGTCATTGTCAAGCAAGGCGCATGTGTGAGCCCTTCCAGAAGAAACTTGCTTTGCCCTGCGGCCGGCTCCGAGATCAACCGAAGGCAACTGATCGCCCATGGTATTTGGGCTGTCGCCGATGTTGTATCCGTTTTCGTATCCAAGTCTTCCGTACAAACCCCAGCCCCAGCACTTCAGGGAATCATCGTCTAGCACTGCACATGTGTGAAAACCACCAGCTGAAACTTGCTTTGCACTGCGTCCTGTGCCTAAGTCAACAGGGGGCAAGTG